TTAGGGTTTAGGGTTTAGGTTGGTGAAGTCAGGTCATCAGTTACGGCACGAGCATCAGCACCTTCGAGCGCCAGGGGCAGTGGCTACAAGCTCTTGAGGCCAGGCATGGAATGGCTCTGGGTAGGAGAGTGGCTTAGGGTTCACAGGGCTTAATTTTGGGGCCTTAATANNCACCAAAACCCTATTCCAATTGTTAAGGCCCCTACATTAGGGTTCATAGGGCTCAGGGTCTTTGGTTTAGGCTCTTTCGGTGAAAGGCTTGCAGTTTATGGGGCTTTTTTGGGTTTTAAGATGGGTTTAGGGTTTGGGGTTGGCTAGACGGCTCTACACTGTTTCGGTTAGGTTCACTTCTTCAAGGGGTTTCTTGTGATTACAGGGCTATGGTGGCTTCCTAAACCCTAAACCTTGAACAAAAACCGTTGATGGCCTGGCCTGTTTTCATAGCCGAAGAGAAGAACCCCTGCCCAGGCTCTGAAAGGGATGTCATTGGAGCGCCTTCCTGCTGATCTTATAACCTACAATGCGGCCATGAGCTCCTGTGGCTTTGCTCTCGAAACCCCAACGTTCACAGGCTTTTCACCGCCTCTTTCAAGAAAGTCGCTAGTATTCCGAGAATATGTTATCCCGTCATGTCCTTCTGTGGAGCTGAAGTAAGGTGGTGGGCTGTCGTCAAGGTGGCAGCTCACCCTCTCCATCTTCGGAAGCATCGAGGAGCTTGGACTGCGCACCGATGCAGTAAGCTACAGTGCTGCAGGTGCTGGGGTTCAACAGCCAAGAAAAGGCCCCGAAGCCCTACACCCCAAACATCTAAACCCCGGAACACCTAAAGCCTAAACCTCGGAACCCTTACATCATGTACACCCTAAGCCGCAAACCCTAAACCCTACGTTTCCCTAAACCCCCCGGAGGCCGTGGGACCCTGGGACAGTGGCGATGGGCGCTGCAGCTGCTGGGGTGTATGAGAGTGGAGCTCCTCGAGGTGGAGGGGTTCAAAAATGGGTTTAGGGTTTAGGGTTTAGGGTTTAGGGTGAAAATTAGGGTATCCTATTTGGGGGTCCTTATAATGAGGATCCTACTATTTAGGGTACTATATTAGGGTCCCCTATTTTCTGAAGCCCCCAAATCTCGGGGTAAAATGTTGGCCTGCATGATGAAAGTAAGGTTCCTTTGAAGGGGCTCTGGGTTCCTTGAATAAGGGCGCAATAACTCAGGGTCATGCAAATGAGGATATTTAGGGTCTCAAGAGACTCCCAGGTAGACATTATTTGCCATGGCACTGTCATGAGCATTTGTGAGAAAGCCGCTCCATGGCAGCGTGCTCTCCTGCTGTTCGACACGTCGTCGAGCTTAGCGAGGTCTACTGATGCAGTCAGCTACAGCAGTGCTATCAGTGCATGTGCCAGGAGCAGTCATATGTCAGAGGCGGGTCCAGTGACGCCGGATGCACCTGCTTCGTAGTCAGAGACAGCTCCACACCACATTATTGAGTTCCATCGCCGCAGGATGCTGCAGGTCTTGTCCGATGGATTAGGTCAGACAACTCTAACAGAATTCAACACGTCGTGCTGACACTAATCACTAATCCTCGCAACCACACAGTCCATGTCTTCAGTAGCGCAGTGCCTGCGAACTTTCCTAAAGCTCGTCCTGATCGAAGAGGCCACGGCATCCTCCGTAATGTAGACCCCCTCAACCCTATAAACCCTAAACCCTGTCTCATAAACGCCCTTTCTTTAAGGGCCTGAAGGGCCCGACAACAATCCCGTTTAGGGCATTGAATAAACTATTTGCTAGACTACCTTGCTTTAAGGGCCTTGATATTAGGGTTGGGGGGTCAAGATTACACCCCAATCCCAGAACACCACTCTGCGGAAGGCCCTTGCGGTCCTTGAGTCCATGGAAGACGTCTTGCTACTAGGCATCTGTTGGGGAAGAGTTTTCGAGTGCAAAACACCCGGGCCATGCTGCGATGTACCGAAGTTACAAGCGGATCAGCTAAACCCTAAACCCTATTACCCTAAACCCGAAAAACTATGCTGTCAAGCCTCTGCTGAAGCACCAGCCCAAAACTTGGCGCACCCGTAAATCGTGAAATCGCCAGGGTACCACGGTTGCCTCAAACGGAAGAGGTTGTCCCTAGACCCTCAACCCTATCTTGCCCTTCATATGACCCTAAGGGTCCATGTATTCATTTTGTATATACATTGGCCCCATAGCACCTATGTAGCGACTACTTTAAGGCCAAAGTATCTACTGCTTGGGCACATGGACCCTTAGGGTGATTCATTTTTGGCACCTCCGACGAGCGTAGACATAACTTCAATGAAAACTCCAGACATTCGCAAAGCATCGAGTCCTGCCAGGAATTCCAGAAAACCCCTAAGTGTAAAGGGTACTGTTACGGGGGGATACTTCCCCAAATCAGAATAGTAACCCCCAGCACAGAAACCCTACATACTACTATACAGGTACTTAGGGCCGTTGGGGAAACCGTGAGCTGTAGCGACGGGTGGGGTAATCCTCGGCTCCACTTCACGGCTTGAGCATTCAACTGGCCCTAAACCCGAGGCTAGGCCCTCAGCATGTCTGCCTAAACCCTAAACCGTATCCCGTAGACCCTAAACGCAGAACCCCAAACCCTGCAATTATTACTGTTATTACTGCGCAACCCTCCCCGCTAAACCCTAAGCCCTGACCCTCAACCCCCTAAACCCTATAAGCCCTGTAATTCATGCTGTACCGTCACCCCCCCCTTAACCCTGACCCTACACCCTGAACCCTAAGCCGCAAAGGCTAAGCCCCGATCTGGTCTGCTACTGCGGGGCGATGGCCGCCTGTGAGCGAGCAGGTGACTGGGAAATGGCGCTGGCGGTCCCACGACTGTTTAGAGTCTAGGGTTTAGGGTTTGTT